AAACTTTTAAAGGATGGCTTAAAAATTATATACTTAATTTATATACTTAATGTACTTATTTTAATTAATTAAATCAAGGCATGTGAACATTTTTAATGATTATTTATTCTATAACAAATTTTTTTTATTAATATATTAATACATTAAATATACTTATCTTGATTCAATTAGATAAAAATATATTAAATATATACATTAAATATATAAACTTAAGTATTTAAGTCTTACCCCGTTTTAAATTATCCCACAACCATAAAACTTTACTTTTAATTTTTTTATGGGTAATAAATTGTAAAATTTCAAAACATTAACCTTTTTAATTAAAAATGTAATAACAGTTTCAAATGGATAATGATGTTTTTCATAGGTGTAGCTACCAAATTAAATTATGCGAGTCCTTAAACTAATAATGATATTAATTAAATTCAGTCAAAAAATAATGATATTTAAATTATTAAATATCAAAGTGTTAATATTTCCATTAGATATTATTAAATTAAAAATAGTATTTTTCTTAATACCTCATCAATGTCGATTATCGTTCCGGCGATATGTCTACTAGTGGCAATTGTATAACCAGTAGCCATTGGTCAATTATTAGCACTAATGGTTCAAGGAGAGCGATCAAAGAGTATTACATTTTAGTTTTTCTCTTGTGTTAGAGATTGTCTGAATAATCCCGAAGACCTTTAGACGCTTTAGCATATAAAAAAGTTCCCCGGACTTAATTGACATCTTTAGTCCATTTTTTTGTTACACCCTTTAAATTAATTTCACTACGTTATATATTTAAAAAAGACCATTAATTCTTTCTTGCTAGTCAAATAGAAATGCATTTTGTTAATTAATTTTAGGATTGGGCCCCAATAATTTTATTGTATTTTGTTTTGGTCGCTATGTTTTTCTCTCAATGTTACAGGTTTTTTTATTTTTTTCACCTCTACAATGTTAATCCCTCTCCTTTTAAATATGTCTAGAGGGACAATGACATGGCACAAAAAACAGTATTAAATTGTTTGATGTGTAACTAACAACGTTAATGAAGATACTAGCATATTTAAAACACAATATGGGTTGGCAATTTGAATTAGCAGAAGGTTAAAAAAAAAAAGATGATTGTTTTATGATGAAGGCTATGTGACGACAACACTTGCTAGCATCGGAAAGTGATTTCCAGACATTGTAGGTCAAATCTTTTATTTTATGCATCAAATGCTCTAATTTAACTTAGTTAGCATTGCATTATCATTGTCATACCCCCAAATACGGCAGTAGCCAGCATAGAATATGCACACATAACCCATATCCTTTAGCCTTAATTCAATAAACTTCTAAAATTAATAATTTGAACTTGTTAATAATAAATAAAATAAATTCTTACCATACTTATATTATAGACAAAATATTTTTTTTTCTATTTATTTTAGAACATCCAAAAATTTCTATAACAACAAAATTTTTAATAGTTTAGCAATAAGGAGCTCTGCTCCTCAACATCAAATAGTCAATTTATACAAATAGATCAAGATCTTATCTAAATCAATGAAAAACACATAAAACAAACTATAAAAATAATAATTAAGCTCACGTTCAGACCAAGTGAGATTTGTCCCAAGAAATTCTTCTATATCAGTTTAGCGATAAAGCTCTTAATGATCAATAGTAGATACAGGTCCAGCTATTATCTGAAGTCAAAAATTTTTTAGTGAATAATATCCCAATTATAAAATTAAAGAATAACAAAAACATAACAAAGGAAATGTTTAACTACTTTAAAGAATTAATTTAGTATAATGTAAACATTTTTTTTCAAGATAAAATAAAAGAAAAATTTCCATGACATATTGACTTGGTGAACAACATACCTACATACATACATACATACATATCCATCCATCATCACTCATTCTCATTTTGCATAAATATAAATATAAAATTTATATTCAAATCATGAATGATTGAACTAGTAAAATGAAGATTGTAGTAACCTTGTCAATAAGATTAGAATAAAATCATATATATAATAAATGACTTAAAAATTAAATTATATTTTATTGGGACTTTACTAGAATAGATAACAAACGTGGACACACAATCCACAAGGGTAAGTAATCGAATGCAGCTCATGCCACGAAGACAAACATGGATACACAGTCCATGAGGGTAAATAATCTAATGCGATCTAAGTCATAAAAACAAACGTAAACACACAATTTACAAAGGTAAATAACCGAACATAGCCTGAGTTACAAATAAATATGAATACACGGCCCATAAGAGTAATACTAACCAAATGTGGCTTGAAACCACGAAAACAAATACATGTATTAGACCCCTAGATAACAAACGTGAGTGTAATACTCACAAATATCAAACGTGAGTATTATGCCCCTGAGTAACAAGCTAGTTAGGTTTTGGCCATGGTATGCCAAGGGCTAATGGAGCTTCTATTAGCAATCAGTGTTTTGTATATAGTCCCTTTAAAAACAATTTTTAAACATGCAAGAAAGTAATCACTTTTGAAATATAAATTTATTTTTTTAATATCAAATTTGCATGAATCATTTAAATCATCAATATTCCAAATATAAAAATTCATAATTAATTTCTCTTAAACTTGCCCACCAATTTCCAAGCTTGCCTTTTCCAGGTAGAAACATTCTAGAACTTGTATAAACATTTTTATCAAGTTGAAAAGTATATTTTATAGGGAAATGTACAATGCATATAGAAGTTTATCTATTCTTCAACATGAAAATGCAGGCTCAGTAATTTATTTAATAAAAAATTCAACATTTGTAACCACTTGAAATAGTACATGTAAAAAAAACTATTTTAGTAAAAAGAAATTTTATTGATAAGTTAATTGAGATGTTATCTACTTACCCATATGTTCACAAATCCAAAGAGTTACTTCTCTCAACTCCTATCAAGTTCCTCTTTTTCCCAACACTCTCTAAGATATAATAGGATTTCAATAGACTTTCTACAAGTTCAATAAATTTCCTTCCAAATTAACACAATCATAATTAATTTATACAATTCAAGTTTCCATGAACACCATCTTCTATATCGCAAAATTCCTCCAAAATACCTTAGCCACAACTAAACCTTTGACTGAGACATGATCCTCTCCCAGACCTTTCAACATCAACCCCTAATTTAATCAATTGGGATTCCTAACTCTTGCCCAATAATTTTCAATACCAACATTTAGATTTATTATACTTTCTAAATTCATATCCCATCAAGAATCAATTTAAACTTATATACAATTCTAACTCACTACCATCCTCCTCAACCAGTAACCAAAACAATTATAATGGAATCACTTCAAAAAAAAAAAACCATCCACTTTAAACCTGAATTTTAGTTTGCTTAAGTCCAAACTGCTCTCCCATTTATGCATCAAGCA